GTAATCAGTTCAAATCTGGAACAAATGTAAATATCGTAATCATTTCTTATGTATACCATTTCCTAATATAATTTTCCAAGATATTAAAGATCATAATGCAAAAAAATTAAATTTATGAAAAGTAACAGGCTTTATGTTTCTTAAGCTATGTGTATTTATGAAAGTTCTTAATGAAGTTTCAAACAATTCCATCCACTAGTTTTATAGTTGGAATGAGATATAGCAAAACTTGCATTGGCTACTTAGAAAGTTAGTAGCTGGTGGTCATCGGGTTAACAGATACTTAATTATTGAAGATGTATAGTTTTTGAAACAGCTTTTGGTGGGATTATTACATTTAACTTTTTTATCTCTAAGAGTAAGATATGATCACATACAATATTTATACTTCTTATATTGATCAATTTTTGGTCAGACAATGTCTGATGTCCAATCACTATTTAAGCCCTGGTCTTTTAATAGAAATACCAAAATTAAGTCTTACCACAAAGAGACCATGATTGCTGCTATACTGAAGTTTACCCTTTGATGATTCCTTTGTAATCAGTGACAACAATGACTGAGAGGTTGACATATCTGCACATTCAATGCCTAGAGATATTCAATGTTAAAAAAAATGGTTTTCAATAACTTGTACTCAAATTTTTGTTAAATCACGTATACATGCCCCTAATTAACCTTTACAAAAAACAACAACAACAAAGGCATTCTACATCAGAACTTACCAACTGGGAAACAAAAAATAATTTTATTTGTGAGAAACTTAACTCAGGAAAGTGAATATCTTTTTTCATGTATATCAATTAGATTGCATGCACAAGTATTTTCAACTCAACTTACTCAATAATTGCATTCTACTGATCATGAACTAATATATATATATATATATATATAAAAACAGTAAACCATTATACATACAGACTGCTAATGCTTTTAAAATGAGTTGTGAAACTTTATAAGCACCAAAATACAAAGTTTTTCTGCCAACAATGCTAAATGTTTATATAGCCTTATAGACATAAAATTGCACATGCCCTTCATTTCTTTTAATACTGAGGGAATAATTTCACTCCATTGCATTAAGAACTAATCTGCCACTGTAAAAGATAAATCATAACACCCTTTCTAACTGCATATAAAAACATAAATTAAAATTAGAAAAAGTTGCTATAACTTCCACTTAACAGACTGCCAGAACCACGTCTCATGTTGGAACCATGTATGGAAGACAAAACATGAAAAAACGATGACAAGATGATACATGAATTGTATAAAAAAATGATGCATACCACATTAGCTTTATATCTTGAAATGTAAGTAAACAGTATGCAATATAAACACAAACTACCAGTAACAAATTTCAGTATAATCTAAAACAAAATCCGTGACAAAATATCATTGCAGGGCTTCTGTTAAACTGTACCAGACACAAAGAATGTGTGTTATGTTCTTTACCCAACTGTACCAGACACAAAGAATGTGTGTTATGTTCTTTACCCAACTGTACCAGACACAAAAAATGTGTTACATTCTTTACCCATCTGTACTAAACACAAAGAATGTGTGTTATGTTCTTTACCCATCTGTACTAAACACAAAGAATGTGTTACATTCTTTACCCACCTGTACTAAACACAAAGAATGTGCATTATATTCTTTACCCACCTGTACTAGACACAAAGAATGTGCATTATATTCTTTACCCACCTGTACTAGACACAAAGAATGTGCATTATATTCTTTACCCACCTGTACTAGACACAAAGAATGTGCATTACATTCTTTACCCAACTGTACTAGACACAAAGAACGTGTGTTATGTTCTTTACCCGACTGTACTAGACACAAAGAACGTGTGTTATGTTCTTTACCCGACTGTGTGTTACTTTCTTTACCCAATTGTACTAGGCACAAAGAATGTGTTATATTCTTACACAACTGTACTAGACATAAATAATATGTTATCTACTTTATTCAACTGCACTAGACACCAATAATATGTGTTAGGTGATTTACTTAACTGTACCAGATGCAAAGAATGTGTTAAATGCTTTCCCCAACTGTACTAGATACAAAGAATGTGTGTTAGGTATGTTATTCACCTGTGCAAGACACACAGAATGTGCATTAGGTGCTTTAATCAACTGTGATTTTTTCTAAGTATGCAATTAGTAAGAATTAAACTCCCTTAAATTTACTTGATCCACCACATCTGAAGGCAACCCATTCCAAAGGTCAATCACCCAGATGGAAAAATAAAACTGTCTCAGACAGAGATAGCTCATATACTGCCAAAATTTATATTTGAATCCCTTAGTCCTACCATTCTTACCACTAAGTATGATAAACAATGGTGTATCAACACTATCATTTTTCTTTAATAATCTTATATACCTTAAATCTCCTCTAAATTGTTTTTCTTTTTCAAGAGAAAACAATATCAGAGATCTTAACCTGTCCTCATATGATCTTATTATCCCAGGTATCAACCTAGTAGCCTTCCTCTTAACCCTTTCCAACAATTCAATATCCTTCCTAAGGTAAAGAGCCCAAGAATGTTGCCTAACAAGTGACAATGAAATTATAACCTCTTTAGACTTGTATTTAATATTTCTCTTGATACAATTAATATTAGTAGGTGAACAATCTAATGCTTGGCAAATTATGCTCCACAATGATAGAAGAGCCGACATCAAAGGATCAAAAAACAATGTTGCTATGAAGGCTTGGTCATCACTGGCCAGTTACCCTTGTGGTAACTTTTCTGACACATCTTGATTAAAACTCCTAAATTCAAAGGAATCAACAGGCTTTGTTACTACTTTCAAGTGGAAGAAAATTCTTCCTAAGCTGTGAATTTCATGCTGCCTGGCTAAATTTGATTGCAGAGGAATGTTTAAAACTGACAAAAGAAAACATGCATCAAATGTCTATCCATAACAAAGTTTTTGTTATATCTTTTAATTAATCACTAAGCCTCATTACACTCAAGTTTAAGTAACATTACAATTATGAATATAAACTAGCAAAGTATGATGCTAAATTTACGAGATAATCAAAGACAAGATTTTACAGAAAGGTGTTGTATTATTGCTAATCATAACATTTAGTTATGATGGTAAATTCTGCATGAAAACAAAACATTTATTTAAAATAAGTTGTCTTACCAGTTAGACTTTGAATTTTGTCTATGACACTGTTTGCCATGGGAATAGGAGAAGACAGACGTAACATAAAACTAGCTGGCAGTGTGGTGCTGTTTAAATTACTAAATGCAGCAAAGGAAGGTAAGCTGAAAAATAAAGAAATAATATTTAGCATTTAAATAAATTTACATGATAAATAGTGTACACAGACTTAATCTATATTCATACAATCGAGAGGGGTTTATCCATTAGATCATAGAACATCTGTTTAAATACAACTTAATACACGGTTGTCAAATTTGAGAACAAACAGTCAACATTAAGCCTGAGAAAAATATTTTAGTGTTAATTCTCTGTATTAAAATAAAGTGACTTTTTCTGATGTGCAACAGGCACTGTGTTTCTCCAAGATCTTTCTTGATGTACAAAACACATTTATATACTACATGGAAAACTTAAT